CTTGGCAGCGGCTCTCCCCACAGCAAATCCTGCTGCAGCCACGACGAGGCAAGAGGTTCTGAAAAAGCACCAGGGTGATGTTTATAGAGGAGGAATGAATGAAAGATCGACCAGGCATTCCTCAAGCAAGAAGAGGAAAACTCATTAGTGAAAAATGTACAGTTTTCTGATGTAGAATCAGAGGAAACGTGCAACCTGAAGACCAGTGAGAGTTCCTTTCATCGGGGGGAGGAAAAAGGCCTATGCATTCCTGTAGAAATGGGTATTGTAAAAGGAGGGCAGGAAGAAAAGGAAAGGCGCAGCAGATTAGGGACAGGGGCAGGAGGTAATACCAGAAGCACTGTTCATATGAACACTAATAACACGTATGGATCTTGCACATATGTTTAAAATGAATGAATAAACTACCAAACCAAACCAGACCAGACCAACCAACCAGCAAAACAAACAAAAGAACCCACAAAACCCAGAAAAAAAATGTATGTGGTGTTCTTCAGAACTTTGGAAACTGTTTTCAGAGCCATCCAGTTTGTATTTTGGGTGATCCTTTTGTTGGAGAGCAGGAAGAAATTATTAAAGGCAGTCAAAGACAGAAGGAAAAAGTAGTAACATTCAGCACATCATCTCTTTGTTTCTGCTGTTTCTCCACAATCCCTAATCCAGGTAATTCCAAAGACAGGGAAGGTTAGCGTGTAGGGCACAGTGGAAAATGCGGAGCCTTGAGACCTGTTTGCAGCAAGCAAAGGGAATCAACCCTAGCTGAACCCCTGGTTACACTGAAGCTAGGGAATGAAGAAATAGCATTTTTAATAGGCACGGGGGCCACTTACTGGGTATTGAATACACGCCAAGGGAAATTTAGTCATAAATCAGTAGACGTTTCTGGTGCAACAGGGCAAAAAGAAAATCGGCCTTTCCTAAAGCTGCTAAAGTTTAAATTGGGAAAACAGTGGGTAACTCACCAGTTTCTGTATATGCCTGAATGTCCATTACCCTTGTTAGGACGGGATCTATTAAGCAAATTAAATGCACAAATAACTTTCAAGGATGGAGAAATTAAGTTACTAACACCAGAACCAAAAGCCATAGAGGCAAGAGTGTTTGTGTTACAGGATTCCGGAAGAAGTGGAAAATGCACTAATTCCTCTGGTTTGGGCGAGCGGAGTTCCGGGACGATCTTGATTGGCAGAACTGGTAAAAGTGACTTTAAAACCTGGAGCCAAGCCAGTAAGACAAAAACAATATCCTATTAAGTGGGGGCTTATGTTGAAATAAATTATGGGGCATTGACTTGCATGATGCCGGTTCTACATATACTGCTAAGCTAAAAAGCTTGTCTAGCTTCTCAACACTTCCTGGGCAAACACATGGTCTGGAAAAATACCTGTGTTGGGCTTCTTTACATTCTGAATCCCCGTCCAGTGAGCCTCTTGTTTAAGACCTCTCTTACATTGAATCTGGTGTTTATTTTTGTAATAATGACAAGCAACATCAGCTTTATAAAACTCTGTGGCAAGAACAACTTCCAAAATTAGTGGGCTTATTGCAATTTCAGTTGCAGTTATGCTGGCAACTTTAATAAGATTATGAAGACAGCTTTAATAAGGTGATGATGATAACATGCATCTAACATAGCAGCCAAAATGTGCCTAGCTTATTAACAGAGCTCTGATTTTGTTATGATATTTGGGAATCAGTTGGCAAAAGAATTAGAAATATGGAAAAAACAGAACCAAGAGAAAGGTATATTGTTACAGTATGTGGATGACATTCTGATAGCAGCAGAGAGTAAAGAAGAATGTTTTGAAATTATTATCAATTTACTAAATTTTCTAGGCCACGGAGGATATAGAGTATCCAGGAGCAAAGCGTAAATAGGAAAGGAAGCAGTGATTTATTTGGGATATGAGATATCTCAAGTACAAAGACAATTCGGAAACGAAAGAAAAGAAGCCATTTGTCAAATTCCCCAAACCAGCAGCCCGAATGAATTGAGAGCTTTTCTGGGGATGATTGGATGGTGTCGACTCTGGATTCTGAGCTATGGTCTGTATGTGAAGCCACTGTATGAAGCTTTAAAAGAATCTAAAGACAGGTATTTGATTTGGACACCTGAATGTCAAAAATCATGCAAAGAACTTAAAAGGGCATTAATGATGGCCCCTGCCTTGGGTTTACCTGATTTGACTAAACCTTTTGAGCTTTTTGTACATGAAAGGCAATATCTGGCCATTGGAGTGCTGGCACAATGGTTGGGATCCTGGAAGCGACTGGTGGGATACTTTTCCAAACAACTTGATAACGTGAGTAAAGGATGGCTGGGATGTTTGCGTGCTGTGGCAGCAAGAGTATTGCTGATCGAAGAAGCTCGGAAATTGACTATGGGTCAAAAGATGGTGGTATATGTACCACACATGGTAGTAACTGTCTTAGAGCAAAAGGGGGGTCATTGGCTATCCCCCAGCAGAATGCTGAGATATCAGGTTGTTTTATTGGAACAAGACGATGTGGAATTAAAAACCACAGCAATTGTTAATCCAGCCATGTTCTTGTCAGCAGAAAACCCGATGGGAAACCCAGAACATGATTGCCTGTTGACTGTTGAACAAGTCTATTCCAGCAGACCAGACCTGAGAGATGAAGCCCTGGAAAATCCTGACCTGGAATTGTTTACAGATGGAAGCAGCTTTGTGCAAAAAGGAAAGCGAATGGCTGGATATGCTGTCGTCACCACCACCAAGGTATTGGAGTCAGGGACCCTGCCTGCAAATACCTCCGCACAGAAAGCAAAATTGGTGGCTTTAAAGCAGGCTCTGTGAATGGCAGAAGGACAAAGGGTAAATATTTGGGCTGATTCCAAATATGCCTTTGGTGTGATCCATGCTCATGGAGCTATTTGGAAGGAGAGAGGACTGCTATTGGCCCAAGGGTCATCGATAAAGTATAAAGAAGAAATTCTCCAACTTCTGGAAGATGTGCAGAAAGGAAGTGGTGGTAATGCACTGCAAAGCTCATCAATTCAGGCAGACGGCTGTAAATATAGGTAATCGATTGGCAGATAAAGCTGCAAAGGAGGCTGCATCACAAGGTATCCTTGCATTAGTACCAGTAAAACAGATAAAAATTCCAAACTCAAGACTGAAATATAATAAATTGGATGATCAATTAGCAGAACAATTAAAAGCATCACCACACATGGAAGGATGGTGGGTAATGCCAGAAAACCAGGTAATAGCAACCCCGCAAGTTATGACAGAACTTGCAAAAGAAAAACATGAGCAAACACACTGGGGTGTAGATGCTATGGTTTTGAGTTTGCAAACATCAGTAGTGTGTGTAGGGATGACAGGAATAGTTAAATCAATGGTAGCTAAGTGTCCGATTTGTCTTAAAAATAATCCCCTGAACCAAAAGAAAACACCCTTATGGGTAACAAAACAAGGAAATTCTCCTGGAGATTACAGGCAAATTGATTTTTCTGAGTTACCCAGACAAAATGGATACAGGTGTTTGTTAGTGCTGATTGATACATTTTCAGGATGGCCAGAAGCTTTCCCTTGTCGCGCCAACAAAGCTAGAGAAGTAGTTAAAATATTGTTGAAGGAAATAATACCAAGATTTGGGGTGCCAATAGGAATGTCCTCTGATAGAGGACCACATTTTCTGGCAAATGTGGTTCAACAAATTAGTAAAATTCTGAGTATAAAATGGGGCCTACATACCCCCTGGAGACCACAATCAAGTGGGAAAATTGAGAGGATGAAGCAAACATTGAAAAGACAAGTAAGTAAAATCTGTCAAGAAGTGTCTTTAAAATGGCTGCAAGCCTTACCATTAGCCCTCTTGAGAATTAGAATCCAACCAAGATCTAAGGATGATGTAAGTCCGTATGAAATTTTGTATGGCAAACCTTACCAAACTCCTCTCATCCCAGGGGATATGAAGGTAGCAGGGGAAACAGATTTGAAAGTGTATTTGATTTCTCTAGGAAAAGTCCTTGGAGCCCTCCGAAGATACATTGTGCTGACAAGGTCACTTGCCTTGGATACGCCTGCACACCAGTAGCAGCCAGGTGATCTTGTGTACATAAAGACATGGGACTCTGAACCACTGCAGGAGAAGTGGAAGGGACCCTTTCCAGGTACTGTTAACAACTTACACTGCAATTAAAGTAGAAGGAGTGGAACCGTAGATGCACTGCACTCGAGTGAAAAAGGCCCCTTCGTGGAAGATCATCAATAGGGATCCAGAGACTGCAAAACTGACTTTAAACTATGTTTAAAAGGGGGGGATATCATTGTAAAATATGGGGAACATGGATTCTGATTTGGAGACTGATGACGATGGGAGCATTGTTTGAAGTAAAGGCAGATCGATCAGGATTGAGGGCAGGGAGTGAGGATCCGCTGTCAACAGAAGCATAACAGTTGCATACCCATCCCAAATGTTACCCAAGACATTGAACATGATTTGAGTTTACTGGGACAAATAGAAAAAGATACCCAAGAAATTCAACAAGACATGCAAGAGAATTGGCTAGAAAAAATTTACAGTGGGTTAGGGTGGAACTTGAGCTCCTGGCTAAAATCCTTAATTGGTACTGTGTTGTTATTATCAATAGTATTCTTGGCGACACTACTCATTTACTATTGTCTAAAGAAGGAATTCCCTAAGAGAACTGCCCTCAACTGGTTAATCATGCAAGCAGTAGCCAAGAGACAAGATTTGAGTGATTCGATCACAACGTTCCCACCATCATGTAGGGACATGGTTTAGTGGTGGGATGTCAGGGTTAGGTTAAAGGTTGGACTCGATGATCTCAAAGGTCTTTTCCAACCAAAGTGATTCTATGATTCTATGAGTAATAAGCAATTGAATCACCATCAGAGAGACACTGATTTAAGATGGAAGTATTGAAAAGATGATTATTTCAAAACTTCCAAAGGGGGGGAATGATGCCTTAAGTTAACAATGTTGTAAGCGGCCTACGTGCATAAGACTTGGGCCTTGTTGTCTAGTTTGCTGATGCTTTGCTAAAGTCAGTAGTTACTTAGTAGATTTATAACCTTATTAAAGGACGGGAGGAATCGGGAGAGGATAAAGTAAGAAAGATAACGACGATTTGTCAAGGTTGCTTGGCCAGGAGGAACGAGAACAACAGTGCATGGAAGATAAAGGAAGAGAAGGAACAGATGGACAGTTGGCAGGATGTGCCGGCCTGGAAAGTTGAAAAATTAGAAGTGAGGAAGAGGTTTTGCCTGCATCCAACAGACCGCCAGATGCGACCACCAGAACAGATTGCGCACGTGTAAGAAGGAGGGACAATATGTTAATGGTTTCTTAGAACTCTCCACCTATTCCTAGAAATACTTTGTATAAACCACGAATATTCATCTAGAACATGTATTTAAATTGTAAGAGATAGTACAGAGGTATGCACGCTAGGAGGAGCGATCCCCCGTGCATCTGGCGCTGTAAATAAAGAACGCCTGCCTTTTAACACTACATTGGTGTGACGAGGATTATTCCTGATTTTGGTGACAGAGTGTCGTCTGGTCACCCGAAGCTCCGGGTTGCTTCCCGCTGTGGCCTGGGGTGGGCTCTCTCCAGCCCTCTTCTGAGCGGGTGAAGCCCCTTCAGCAGCAATGTGCGTTTCTTCCCAGCTTCCCGGAGTTTCTCTGCAGCCAGCTAATGGGGGCTGATTGGAGGTATGCAGGGGCACTGTCAGCCTCAGGCGCCCGGTGGGGCTGCCCTGCCCATGCTGGGGCCAAACGTGGGTGGGACTGCAAGGTGGTGGGTCCCCACAGCCCTGTGTGACACAGCACAGCGTCGCAGTCAGACACCCACATCACAGCGACAGTTCCCTCTCCCCACCGTGCCCCCCACCACACTCCCTGGCAAGGCCTGGGCAACGCCAGGGCTGCTCTCGCCAGCACTCTGCTCCGCAGGAGCTGCCCTGCTGCCAGGAGGTAGCGATGGGAGGCTGCGGGAGAGTGTTGCGGGTGCCGCTTGGGCAAGTAGCAAAGAGGAGGAGGAGAAGGAGGACGAGGAGGAAGACGAGGAGGAGGAGGAGAAGGAGGAGGAGAGGAGCAGAGGGGTTTTGTAGCAGGACCAGCACCTCTTCCCCACCTGCCACAGTGTAGGGGGTCAAAGATGATGAAGTACCTGCTCTTCAGCCCCTTGGAGCCCGAGAGGCTCCCAACCCTCAAGGAGCTCACCACCAATGGTAAGGCCCTGGGGAACCCTTGCAGGAGCGCTGTTGGAACCACGGAGAAGTGGAGACGAGCTGTGGAAAGTCGGAAGCTGGGGCTGGGGTGGTGGGCGGGGGTCTTCTGGAAGGGGCTGTCAGCTGCAAGGAGAGCCCTGTTGGCTGGGGCTTTGGGGCTTGGGGGTGGCCTTGGCAGGCCAGGGTGGGATCCCCTTCCCCAAAACAGTCTGGATGCCTGCCTTTCCTGGGCAGAGGGCAGGTTTCTTGGAGGCTGGGAGCGGTCGAGAGCGAAGCTGGGCAGCCCTGGCTTTCAGAGTGTTTACACAGGGCGAGGAGGGGCTTGAGTGCACTCCACTGTCGCCTCCATGGGTCGGGGGGTGCTGGATGGTTGGGCCTTGCTGACTCGGAGCAAGGGGTGCCTTTCCTTTGCTTCGCAGAAATCTGCAAAGTATGGGCTGGCACGCCTAGGTACATCCGGAGACAGCTTGTGCAGAAGAGGGTGAGCCTGGCTTGTGGCCCATCCCGCCCCTCTGGACCTCTGGAGCGGGCTGGGAATAGGAGGGGCTGAATGTTGTCTGGTGAACCAGAGCTTCGGGTTGCTTCCCCCTGTGGCCTGGGCTGGACCTCTCCGGCCCGGTTCTGAGTGCGGAAAGCCCCTTCAGCATCCATG